GGGGGGGGAGGAGATAGCCTAAAAGGTTTAACGGTTGATATTAGCTTCCTAAAACTGGTCTAAAGGAAAACTAAAGCAAACCGCAAGGCAATACACACTGAGAGACTTGCAATTTACGGTTTTCCTGCTCAGAGCCCATCTGCGCTCCTATTCACTCCAATTTTGAGCATTTCTACTGCATAATGACAAAGGAACATTCACTGTCACTTATAACTTTAGACTTTAGTGCTTTGCACTGATTCACTCCAATTTTAACTTGGACAAAACCTGCAAATAGTGGAGGGCCAATGAAACATATTCAGTTCTCAAACACTTTAGATTTATATTGCAGAGAAGTGTCAACAGCATGATAACCCACGTTAAACTCTATCCCGGGGCCGCTCTTTCCTGTGACAATAATGAGTCCTTGTCCTGCAAGCCTTTTTCTGCACACGGCGCCACCATCCCAAACCCCCTCCTGTCTATTGCAAGCGATTCTGACGTAGCCGCATATTCACTCAAATTCAGGTTCTCTCTCTCTTTTTTTTTTAAGAGATACTGACAAGATAAAATATGAATATATAATTATATATAATAATAATAATAATATATATAAATATGATTTGAAGTGGAAAATCTCTCCACTCAAATATGCATTGGTTTCCCGAGTTTTTGCTAGGCCTCCTGGCAGGCTGCCAGAGGGCCTCACTCCTGTCCAGCGACCCAACTCAGGGAGCGAGGTGCTGATGGCTGCGTTCTTTCCTGGAGAGAAAGAGTTGCAAAACCTCCGCTCCTATGTGCAAGGCAAACTCCCAAGCTTCTACCTCCACGCTGGCTAGTTTTCTACATGATACTGCAAGAAGCACATAACCCAGTGAAGGCCTTCTAAGGAGGCCACCGATTCCTCAACAAGACAAAGAAAAAACAAGCTGAACTCCCACCTGCATCATCACTGCAAATCCTAGAAGAGCGATGCTGAGTTTGAGAAAAGCAGCACATCCCGTGGCCAAAGGACTGGCCGAGTCCATAGGCCCCTGACAGAAGGGAAGGGAGCAGCTCCAGGATCTTGGAGCTAATCCTCCACAACTTTTGCAGACTCAGGGAGACAGCAGGGTATTGCTTTACACTCATGTCACGTTTTTTAGAATCTTTCTGCAGCCCAGAGGACTAGAGAGTACATTAAAAAAAGGAGACCTGAGATCGCGGAGCACAACTCTGCGGCAGAGGCCAGAAGCGGGAAAACCCCGCACTGCTGAAGTGTGAAATATGCTGATCCTACTCCTGAGCACTGCTACAACGCAGCTATCAGCAGCACCCTAAAAACCCATACCACGTCAGCGTTGGTGGAGCTACCCAGGCTGTCATCGGGGACAGCTTTTGGAAGAGGATAGCTCGGGCTCACCATGAGGACGGAGCGCACCAGCCACAGGGTTTTCTCACCTCAGTCCTCCAGAATCCCATTAGCCCAGGCAAGGCTGCACTGGTAGCCCTTTTTAAATAAACTGATAAGACTTTAACATGTGTGCAACAAAGAGGACAGATACCCGATACCTACTCCCAGAGAAAACTCCTTTCAACGTCCATTGGCTTTTAGGGAGTATTTAAGGAAAAAGACTGTTGTACTGAAAACAGAGCAACACAAGCGTATTCAAGTATACCAGCTAAGGCTTCACTGCCGAGTCGCAAAAGCCAAAAGTAACTTCTCAGCCAGGTCAATTGCCTCTACCCAACTACCCCAGGGTTATGGAACACACCCCCTATAAATGGAAATAGAAGTCCAATGTCCCTTCCCTTCCCCTCACATCTTCCAATCATCAACTTCCTAAGTGTAAAGACAAACATTGACTTTAAATACATGGCATTCAGCTTCTCCATGACTCAATTCCCCCTTTGCAAAAG